ATAGAGACAATCTGCGATTGCGTTACTTCCAATTGTTCATTCAACTCGTCGAATGCCATTGAACACATTGATACGCGTCCAATTCCATACTAAATTTCACCATTAAATTCATTGCACGAAGCCAGAATTTGAAATCATCTCGAGGAGTTTCCTTTATAACATAACGTGCAACGAAACGATTGATCAGAAAAAACAATCGAGTTGCATTCGACCAAAAAAATGAAACTTTTTTGATAGCCCATCTGACGGGATTAATTCATTATTGTGCTGCTGTCGGCCTTTCGACAGATGAGCGTGCATCATAGAAATGTGTGTGCGTTCTTGAGAGGAAATGCTCAAACACTCTGGAATTTTGCAGATTTTATTTTCAGTTGGAGCGATGCAGACAGCTAGTGTACCAACTGGATATACTGCGATCGGTTCGTCGGACGGGTACGGTCATATCATCAGTAATCACTCGATTCATACTAAAACCCACCCATAAACTCTTCGTTTTAATCACACAAAACATCACAAAAAACTCATGATGTTCCAGCAATTAATTTTAGTCACGTTAATCATTCGCTGACGGAACTATCAAATAAAAAACACCTTTTGTTTCATTGCAAATGTTCACAAATCAAAAAAAAAGAAAAGATCTCACTTAATATTCATTATCAAGAATTATTGAACCGTAACGTATCAACAATTCAATTCATTCGTTCATCTCATAGTAAAGTTAAACTTATCCGAACACGAGATCTGAAAGCTGGATTCGAATAATAAATTCACATCCTTAAATCATATCGCTGAACCAACGTCATAATTCTGATTTTCAATCACACTCAAACCGTTCATAAACCATCTTTCAATTGTTCTGAATTTTATTCCTGAATTATGTAATGAGAGTGGAATGAGAGTAGTGGTGTTGATCGAATTTTTTCATTAAGCGATCAAGAATTCGTCGGAAGTTCTTCGTTGACGGCCGATCAGTACTTGCGACCACAACGACCGCTCGGTGCATCCGTCAGACGACCCTTCTCCTACTTACTTCCCACTAACGCACCAAATGGTTACTCAAAATAGCATTGCAATGAATATGACTTCATTTGATTGTTCAATTCTTAAGAAGGCACAACTTATTCATTCTGATATGGCAAATGCACGGATGAAAGCACTGAATGCAAAATTCATAATTATAACGTCAATATTCATGATATTTAAACTAACATAATCGAACACAGTCATTAGCATTTGCAAAAGCATCAGTAAAGCTTCAGATGCAACCTCCATTGCATCAAACAATACCAGTCATTCAACTGACGATCTACTTCGTGAGCAGAATTTGGCCATAAGATATCGGTTTTTCAACCGTCTTGATCCGGGTGGTGGCCGTTTGGTAAGTTGAAGCATCTTCGTTCATTTCAGCCAGTCAATTTCCGGATAATCTGTATGGCAATCAAAAAGTCAGCATGGTCGTGGAAAGGATCGTTCCCCTTTCCAAATAACTTATAATGGCCATTGAGAGTCGCTAAATATATAGCATGAACATGATCTGAAAGCATCACGTATCGATCAAATATCG